AAAAAAAAAAAAAGAAACGGAAGTTGTCGGTTTTTTTATTTTCGGTCGGCTTACCTCAGTTCCGCGGAGTATATACGCGTTGATGAGTCATCGAGGCGATTTATGAATGAAAATCCGCGCACGTGTCGCGTGCCTGGCTCCCAGTGCCGCGACACGCGAGATCGCCCGCCATTATTATTCGCGCCGCCTCGTAAACACGTCGATTATGCCGCGTTGCTCCCGCGAGGCATCATCCGGTACCAGGAAAAACGTTTAGAGGCGTGTTTTCTCGCGAACACTTCCAGCTAAACGGACTCGCCGTTTCTTTCCTTCCGTTCTTCCTCCTTCCTTCCACTTCTCAGTAATTCTCGCCAACAATTATTGTACTCTCTGTACCAGTAATACCGGGAAAATCGAATCCGGAATCGTTCGGTTTCGAAATTGATACTATTGAGAGACGTAGTTCACCAGCAGCTGCTCGGGGACAAATGATTCACGTAGTTTTATTCGTATATAATTATACGTTTATTTGTATAATCGTATATTCGTATTATAATTTTTAACTGCAATTTTTTTATAATTTTCTATTCATATAATCTGAGATATCCTTCAGCGTCTAGTTCAAAACTTCAACTTTTCGTTTCCTTTGTACGAATCTGATCGGTAGATATCTAGATTGGTAATGGAAATAATTTTATTTCGAATAACTATCTGCTGCAAAGGAGTAATGGATGAAAGTATCCAAGAAATCTCCATTTAGACGCCGTTTCTTTCCACGAGCGTGCAGAAACATTCGCGATCGATTGAAGGAAAGAGAAAATCCCAGTCGTATATATATATATATATTACGAAACTTTTCGACAGATATCTCCTGCTTAGGTGAAATTAAGAGATAAAAGGAATCGCAATCGTGGAAGAAATGTTTGCCATTGCGAAAACCATCGCGTTTAATGCGCCGCGCAAAAAGATCCGTTTCGCAATGAAAATGTAGCGTATTGTGGAAACGAATTATTCGAAAGAACGAAACTACGTACAATTTCCACGTATCGTACGATTCTATTTTATTATCTCTCTCTCTCTTTCCTCCGTCTTCTTTCTTTTTTTTATTATCTTTGTTCACGTGGATAGCGAGACGGTAATCCGGTGTAGCCGACCTCGAAAGGAGGTCGATTCCACGGAAAGATATCTTGCGTACGAGTGACGTCAATACGTTAACACTTTCCCCTCGAGAATGCTTTGAACGGTTGTACGTGGATCTCCTCGATTTCAACGATTCCGCACATTTCCACGTTCGTTTATCCATCTATCTGTCTGCAGCTTTTCCCCCGATCTCGATTTCGATTTTTTCTTCCTTTCCCTCTTGCGGAGGATGCTTCGACGTCACTTTCTCAAGTGATCTAATCACAATTACGATATCCGAGTGTTACTTTTATTTCTCTGAAAATCAAGTGTCAACTTTTACGGAATTTTCTTGTTAATTTTTCCGTCATCACCTCTCTGCGTGATTAACACTACCAAAACTGATCGAAATGACCAATTTATAATTTTTGTTAGTGTGCTTTTAAATAACTACAAGATAAAATATGCGAATAGAAACTTTGTATGCTCCATTATTCGTTATTATAAAGTTTCTTCATTTTTTTTTTTTTTT